AAAGCAGCCTTGGTGGCTCTTAAACAAAAAGCAACATAAATTAGAAAAGCAGGCAAAGGTGGCACTCAGCATTTCAAGGAAACGGGTCCAAGAACACGATATCCTTAGCCCTGGTAATTTCTGGTCAGGGTTAAAAAAAACCAGAATGACTTTACCAGTCACGTAATGCTCTCTAGCCAACAGAAATAGTGTTAACTGCACACCACACAGAAGGCTGCCGAATCACATCACTTATTAAAGTTATAAACTTTACTATATTTTGTAGAAGTAATAAAGGCCTCTTAACTCAGTCTATAAAAACGAGAACTCCTGTAATTTAAATATAGCCCAAGCAACTGTGGAAACAAATACTTAGCCATTCAAGCTTCTTTAGTGGTGTCATTGACGGGGAAGGAGGACCTGGGCTGTAATTCTCATAGAATAATACACTGAAAATAACCTGTAATTAGTATCTTTCTAGGAAGAAATGTAGGTAATTTAAAGTTTGCTACTAGTTAATGGTACAAACAAATAAAAAGACAAATTATTTTCGAGTACTTTGGAAATAACTTCATCAGAAGAATTTGCTTTCAATTAACATGTCGATTAAAATTTTTTCTTATCTTCTCGTTAAACAGGGGGAAATGCACCTGTCGTTGGCACTAAAATATAATAAAACCGGAATTAAAACCCGTAGGTCGGGGCTACAACTAGAATTCTTCCCTAATTTAAAAGTGAGTCCTTTACTTTTTGAACAATAGGTGTAAGATGTGGGCCAGGTGCTTGCTCATTGTTTTAAGAGAGAGTCACCCCAGTCACCGGAAAAGCGATGTCCTGCAGGGCCCAAGGACCCAGATGGAATACACAACCAGAGGGAGAGAAAGCCAAGGTTAGAGTGACTGTGTTCAGAATCATGGTGATGGCAACGTAAAGTGGTGCAACTTCTTTGAAAAACAGGCAACTTCTTAAACAGTTAGGTCCACACCTACCATACGTCCCAGCCATTCTACTCCCAGGTGTTCACCCACGAGAAATGAAACACTATGTCTCTACAAAGACTTGTACGAGAATGTTCAAATCACTTTTATTGGTAACAGACGAAAACTAGAAACAACTCAAATGTCCATCCACAGAGGAATAGGCTATATCCATAAAACTAGGGGCACCACCTACCAACAAAAAGCAGTGAGCTACAAACATACACAGTAATACGGACGGATGAATCACAGAACAATTATATGCTGAGTGAAAGAAGCCCAACGAAAACTGAGTATCATATGATTCCACTTATGTTCACTTTAGAAAATGCAAGCTAATCTATAGTGATAGAAATGAGACCAGTGGCTGCCAAGAGACAGGACTGGGGGAATTACAAAAGGGCACAATGATACTTTTGGAGGTGAGAAATATGTTCATTATCTTGACTTTAATGATGGTTTCACAGGTGTACACATATGTCAAAACACATCAGATTGTACACTTCAAATATGTGCAGTTGATTATATGTCAGAGCTATTTGAAAAGAAGAAGAATCCAAAGGAGAGAGAAGTTGGAGAAAAATGTGAGTTTCCAGAGACAGAACAGCTTAAACATTGGAGGAGCACAGACCCTGAAAGAGAGAAAATGGCATGGAAAGATCAATGAGAGAGAGGAGAAACTGGGCACCCCCACAGCACTTGGTGATGTGTGCAGAAGCCCCTTGAGTTAGCAGGGAGTGATACTGTGACAAACTGAGGTTCTGGAGAAACAGGAGTAAGAGAAACTCCTGTTCTCCCTCAGGGTTATCCAAGGCAGTCCACCGGGGTCAGAGCAGGCAGGGAGAGGAGAATTTAGGATGAATACAACCATTTGGGAGCCCTTACAGTAAACTTGCCTCTCTGCTCCAAGTCTGACATCAAAAGCACCAACACCTCATAACCTTCTTTACTCTTTAACTGCATGGTGGTTGAGCTTGACATTTACACACCTGAGTCATTTAGTGATTTCTCCAAAGGCCTCAGTTTTCTCAAATGTAAAATGAGAAGGAGGGGTGGTTTAGCTCTGTGGTGTGTGGGTCATATACTGGTAAGTCCTTCCTTCATTCATTCATTCACGGGATCTTTCAGCGTATACTATATCTCAGGCACTGTCACAGACTGGCAAGACCTCCGCATTCCAACAGACTCCAGAGAGACTAAAAATGAAGAACTAGATAAGGTAACGTCAGGTAGAGCTAAGCTCTAAGAAAATACACCAGGCCTGCCTGAGTTGGGCGGGGGTGGAGTGCCTTCTGCTAGGGAGTTTGGTCAGGAACAGCAGCTCTGAGAAGGTCAGAGTTGAACAGAGTCGGGAATGATGACAAGGAACCAGCCACCTGATGATTCCAAAGGAGAATGGGCACTAAGCGTATGTGGTTCTCTTCTCAGGTGAAAAGAAACCTACACTCTCTCTCATGTATCCTCCCTCCGCCCAGTAACACAGAGAAATTCCATTTACACACAACTTTCTAAAGAGTAGCTAACATATCACTTATTAGAAAAACCCCCTCAAGACGGGCTTTCTTTTCTACCTGACTCCCTCATTATTTCTAAGTTTCCATCCTAGTGGTTATAAATTTTCCCACTCCCTTCCAGGCAGAAGTAATCAGGATTTAAATCAGTGTTATGATATTGATGTATAGTAAGAAAGAAATCTTAAACTGTGACCCAGTGTATACATAAAAATGAAACGAAAGTTTTAAAAAGTCAAGCTAACCACGTGCAAGGCATTGTCATACATTCTATTGCATTTCATTTTCCTTAAGTGATAAGGTGATTTCAAAGGTAATTCATACTTTGAAAAACACTATGCTAAACTAACATTAGCTAGTAATTTGGTTCAAAGACAAACAAAAACATGGAAAATATTAATACTGAACAACCTCCCCTCCCCCTTATTTCTGTACCCATATTCGCTTGAAAGCAATGGAACCCAAATTTCTCTGTGACTTTGTGGAGAAAAAGCCCAGAAGGGACATTTTTCAGGAGGATTGGGGAGTAAGGTGGGGTAAAGAAAAGAATCGCAATATGCAAACTGTTCCCTAGGTGAGGACATAACCTTTGGCTTGCAAGATTGCCCAAGGAGGAAAGATTCACAAAGTCTACACAAAAACAAGAGAAATTGTGTGTATGTGTCTGTGTGTGTGTGTGTGTGTGGGGGGGGGGGGGTGTTGGCAGAGGGGAAGCTGTCAGCAAGCCATTAAACTGTACGTGCCCAGCGGACTGGCTGCCTTCCCTCACCACAATCCCAGCTCCTCAGGGACAGATGTGCGACTGTAGCACTGAGATGATCATACTTCAAATTCAGTACATCACGCAAAGGGTGCTCCATAATAACTTTTGTTTTGTCTAATAACTTTTTTAATAACGGAGCTCATTGTCACCATCAAATCCTAACTTCACATGTATGCCCAGTTATCACATTCTCCTGGATATAAAAATGTCACACAATACTAAAGAAAACTTACTTATCTTCAAGTCATTGTTTAAGTCCAGAGAGCTTAATGAGGTGTTTTTTTGTTTTGTTTTGTTTTGTTTTGTTTTTCTCAAGCACTAAGCAGGAAAAGGTTGTTTCCTATTTCCTAGAGAGCTACACTGGCTGTAATAGAAAGATTCCCCATCTGCTCGTGGCCAGGGGTAAACCTTGGATTAAAACGAGTGTGTTAATTTAATAGGTAATTTCTCCAGGGACGCTAACCAGTGGGCTCTGTCAGCTAAGGGCTCTCTCTCTGATGGAAACCGTGCCAATTTCCCCGCGAAACGCGGTTACCATCCTCACCCCTGAAGTCACAAGTGCATGCACCCAATTTCCAGTAGCCCCAGGGCCCTGGAGCTGGAAAATTACATCTGCAAGCCGGCCCTTTCCCCACGCCGCCACACAGCTGCCCCCACGCACAGAAAACGCACGCAGCTCATTTCCGCGGTGCCCTTCAGCCCCACTTAGGGACATCATTAATGATCTCAAATTACAACTGTTGCTGCATCTGCGAGCGGTGATGGATAGGGGAGCGACACTCATGATTGCTTTCTTGCACATCATGTATCTGCTCTCCTCTCGGGGGCACAGAAGATGTGGAGACAAGTCCAAACCTGTCAGAGCTCCTTACAGATGCAACCCTCCTGGCTCGCCAGCCCTCCCTCCCTCCCTCCCTCCTTCCCTCCCTACTTCCCTCCCTCCATCCCTCTGCCCCACTCCAGCACCCCTCCCTCTGGATTTCCAGCTTGGAGGCAAGTGACCTCCAGTGAGGAAGTGCAAGAGGTTCATTATTAAAGCAAGGAGAATGCATCGGAGTCAGGAGGCAGAGGCTCAAAACGCCTCCTCTCGTATCCTAGAAGCAGATCAATTCACCCGGCTCTCCAGGTCCACAATAGGCCGGGCTTCTGAAAGGAAGAGGCTTAGAGCAGGAGGGCAGCCCACCCTTTCAAACACTGGAGCATCCGCTTAAACGCGAGATGGAACCGGCCGCGCCGCCAGACCAGAGACAGGCGTGGGCAGGCGAGGGTCTGCGTGAGCCCAGGGGCAGCCTATCCGTGGGCGAGAGACATCCTCAGTCGCCGCGCAGGGAGACCCGCTACGGGTGACACAGCCCTGACTATTAACGACGTCAAATGTCCCCCGCAGGCACCCGGGCTGCGGTGCCCCAATCTCCCCGGATCTATTTTCAGACAAGTGACTCACAACCTCGTCTCTCCCTAAGTCATTCCATTAAAATGAGTCGCCGCCGCCGGTTCCACTAACCCCGACTTTCCGCTGCTCTCCGCTGGCGGCCCCTCCCTCCCTCCTCCACTCCGCCCAGCCAGCAAACCCAAACAGCTCGCAGACGGAGCCCTAGCACCGTACCCCAGGGGAGCTAGGGAGGGGGGGGGGGCAGGCTCTCCCTCCCGGCCCCCCAGCCCCGGGGAAGGATGAATGGGGCCGCAGGCTGGCAGCCGGAGGGCGCGTGCGGGGATGTGTCCGCGGGTGCGCGCGCGGGCGCATGGGCAACGCACCCCGGGCCAACTTACTGAGGTGGAGTTGGTCCTCCCGGGGCCCTGGCTCCGCACCTCCTGCTCCCGGAACTGCAGGCCGGCCAGATGCTTCTCCAGCGCCTCCCAGTCCATCGGGGGCATCGGGGGCTCCTCCGGGGCGCACGTCCCGCTGTCCGTGGGCTGCAGGCAGAGGCCCCCCGACACCGCCGGGCCCCGGCCGCGCAGGCCCCCCGCCAGCTGGGGCTTCTGCACCGCCCGGCGGGGGATGCGAGCCCCGCCGGGCCAGCCGGGCAGCACCACGGTGTTGCCATTGTGCCTGAGGTCCTGGGGGTCGTGCGGGTGGAGGTTGCCGTTGGGCAGTGGGGGCGGCATGGCGGTGGTGGCTCCTTTGCCGCCGCCGCAGTTGCGGGTCCTGGCGCTCACGTCCCCCGGTGGTTCCCGGGCGGGACAGCGGTCATCCCGGTAGCCTCGTCCGTTGCGCTCGTCCTCCTCTTCCTCCTCCTCTTCCTCCTCCCCGTCCTCCTCCTCCGGCGCCCACTCATCAATCACCTTCTTGTGGTACCCCGGGAAGGGCTCCTCATAGTCCTCCAGGGCAGACTCCAAGTCCAGGCTGCCCCCCGGCGACGACGAGGATTTGCACTCGGAGCACGGGGTCACTTTGGCGGAGTTGGACTGCGAACTGGCGCGGCTGCTGCTGCTGCTGCTGCTGCCGCCGCCGCTGCTGCTGCTGCCGGCGTCACTGCCTAGATCCATCCCATCCTCTCGGTAATCCTGGGGGGAGGAGGAGGCAGAGAGAGTGAGCTGCCGCCGGGCCGAGCGCGCTCCGGCCGCCCGCCGCCCGCCGCCGCCGGCGCCCCGGCCCCGCGCGCTGCTGCGCCCGTCGGGCGGGAGGTGCGGGGCCCCGCCGGAGGCCTGGGGGCGGGAGTCGGCACCAGCCTGAGGCATCCCTCCCCCTGGCACCACCAGACTTTCCTCCGGGCAAACTGATCCTCAGATCAGCAAAGGGGATGCCCGGCCGCCGGCGCGCACACTTTCCCGAAGAGGAGCCGCGGGGCGCGCGGGGACTTGGCGTTAACCATTTTGCGCCCGCCTGGCACCCCGCCCGCCCCGAGGAGGATTCTCGGGGAAGCAGACACTTTCCGGGAGAATTCTAATTCCCGGCGGGCGGGGACGGGGAAGGAGGTGGGCGGATACTAAATTCGCACCTCGCTCTGCGGGCGGAGGCCGCCTCCCGCCCCGCCCCGCCCCGCCCCGCCCCGCCCCGCCCCGCCCCGGTGGGCGGCGGGGAGCCCGGCTACTTTCTAAGGAGCAGCGGGCTGCGCAGAGCTCCGACTCCCGCCCCCGCACCTCCCCGCCTCCCCGGCTGGCTCCTCCTCCGCTCGCCGAAAGGCTCGGGGGAGTAAGTGGGCGCTTGGGGCTCCCGCCAAAGCCTGGCGGCTCCCACCGGGGCGCCCCCTAAGGTGTGCGGCGGGCGCGGCCGCAGTCCCCGCAGGCGCCGGCGCCGCCGCCCGTGGAGGAAGGGCGTGCCCTCCCGTTGGCGAGCCGGTCCCGCCGACCGAGCATGCCCAGAGGATGCCGGGCGGGGCGCGCGGTCCGCTCGCCGGCTTTCGGGAAGCCGGGAGGGGATGGGGTCGGAGTGGCCGGGGAAAGGCAGAAGGAAGGGGGTCACGGGGTAACTAGGGCCGCAGACCGGGCCCAGGAGAAGGGGCGGCGCCCTGGAAAGGGTGGTACATTGTAACCCCCAGACACGCCCGCGTTTCCTGGGCGCGTCCCAAGCTCTCTCTGTGGGGGCTGATCACCCCGCCTAAGCCTCCGGAGACCCCCCCCCCCCCAAAGCGCGGGATCCACGCTTCCTAACCCACGCGGAAGTCCCCGACGGATTCCCCCCCTTCTCCCCAAGGACATCCCTTCCCCATGCGCGCACAAACACAAGCCCATGCGGGAGCCCGGGTGACGTGTGAGCGGCGGTCCGGCACCATCATTTCCCTCCCACCTTCCCACACGCTTCCTCTCCGCCGCCAGGCTCCTCCAGTCTCCCAGCCATCTCCCCTCCCAAGTTCAGGCTGTGGGTGGGACCTGTTGCTTCAGCTCCGTTTCCTTCCCTCCGGGCTGCAGGCTGAGTGAGGAGGACGACCTCAGGAAGGTGTGTGCATGGGGAACAGAGGCGGCAGTGTGAGTGGGACTGATGCCTGGCACGGAGGTGGAGAATCTCTGTTTGGGTGCCTCCAAAGCCCCCTTGGGCCACCTCCAACCAAGGAGGGGAAGAAGAGGACATCCAGTGACATGCTTTTGGCACACTGTATGGTTTGCTTCTTCCAGTTTTTTTAGGAAACTGACTCCAAGAACCAACCCTTTGCTGGGGTTTTCAACTAGATGAAGGGGAGATCCTTTCCACCATGTACACGGACATACAAATCAGCAGTGTACACGGACATACAAATCAACATTAAAATTTAAATATCAATTTCACGGGGGTGGGAGTTAAAAGGAGAAACAGCATTTAATGTTACAATGGGTTGAGAAAAACCAGTTTCCTTAAACTTGCAGATGTGGTCCTGCTGCTAATTATCCCCAGTGACTTGTAGCCTGAACCAGGCCACTGCCCTGGCTGGTGGCACAGCCCAGCTGCCAGGCAGAGGACCAGGGGGCATGCTTAGGATTCTTCAGTAGGGAGTGGCAGCCATTTCTTCAGGGTCTTAAGGGGGATTGGATGTAGAGACCCTGTGTTTAAGGGAGGCTGTTTCCTCTCCTGGGTAGGCCTGAGCCTGGGAAGATAAGCTAATCTTCAGACTTTTCTGGAAACGGCAGTCTTACGAATAACAGGAAAAGGGAGCTCTTTGTGTTCTGGAGCTCTTTGCAGGGCCGGTTATAACGTAGAATGTTTCTTACGGTAAGATCTGTCAAGAGCCTGCCTGGTGCTCCAAATATGGTTTGCTGCAGAGCCCTCGGTCAGCTGGCTGCCTGCTGTGGGATGGAGGTGGACCTAGGAGTGCTCAGAGATGCAGATAGAAAGCATTGTGTGCTAGGAAACAGATAGCTGCTTTTCAAGTAACTATGTCACTTGGCAAGGCTTAGGTCAGAAAAAGCTTCTGGCCCGGTGGCAGGACACAAGTAGACAGACAAGTATTGATTAACTGTGGCAATAAGAGACACTTGTGGCTGAAACCGCTTTGGCTCAGTGGATAGAGCGTCTGCCTGCGGACTGAAAGGTCCCAGGTTGGATTCTGGTCAAGGGCATGTACCTTGGTTCCGGGTACATCCTCAGTAGGGGGTGTGCAAGAGGCAGCTGATCAATGATTCTCTCTCATCAATGTTTCTAACTCTCTATCCCTCACTCTTCCTCTTTGTAAAAAATCAATAAAATAAAATAAAATAAAAAAAGAGACACTTGTGGCCTCAGTGCAATTTTCAGACATTGGGACCTCTTCAACCATTCACCCAGTCTCCCTCCTGGGCTTCAGCTCATCCCCCCCTGCTGCCCAGATGGTCTGTATTTGGGAAATGCAAAATAAGGCTTCAGAAAACATTTGGCAAGTAAACTCACTGCCAAAAACGCACGGCATTTTGAAGCCAACCATGAACATCTTTGGATGATCTGTCCTTTCAAATTATTTTTTGACCAGATATTCTGGATCAGATGAAAAACCATCATGTTTCCTTTCTACTTTTCTCTTTATGCAAGGTGCCTGGCTAGCCCCGTCTCCATTCTGTTTCCAGCTTTCCATCGCCTGCCAAGAACTTTGGGACAGGAAGGCCTGCCAACTCCGAGGCCAGCAACCAGTCTACAGATACGTCCAGCGAGATGGAGAGATGATTTGCAAAGTGATTGAAAGGTCCTGTCTTCCTGTTTACAGAAAGTCTCCTCAAGTTAGGGGCACGGAGCTTACAGACTTAGATTCGTCCCCTTCAACCTTTGTAAATTAAACACCAGAGACATAAGTGAGAGCCATCCCAGATCAGCACCTTCCTCCATCAATCACCAAGTCCTTTCCCTCTTTTTCCCTGCCTCCAGTCTGATCTAGACCCCTTGTCCTGAAATTACTGAACAGTCTCCCAACAATCTTCACCCATTCTCCTCTAATACTCAGAGTGGCCTTTCTCAGATAAAAATATGAGCAAATCTCTCTCAAGCTTCATTATCTACCCCCTGTCTCCCCAACCAGGATTCCTCATTCCCCTTAAAGAATCCCCCAACCCCCAACTTCCTTTGGAAAATCTCTATTCATCTTTTAAGTCTCAGGTGAAATGTCACTTTCTCTTGAAAGCCTCCCCTGATTCTCTATACCTATCCGTAGAGTCAGGTGACCTCCCCAAGCTTCCATGACACTCACTGCACTTATCACATGTGCTGTGTGGAGGTTGCTGTTGAACTGCTTATCTTTATTACTACTACTCAAACAATCCATTTGATATCAAGATCCAGGCCACACATGCATATAAAAACATATGTAACTGAAAAAAGTGTTTTATAAACTTTTATTTTGTAAAATCCTATCTGACTCCATTTAAAACAAAATCTGGGCACACTTCATTATATTGATTTCACAACCTTTAAATGTGTCAGGGCTCCTAGTGTTAGAAAATACTCTAAATTCCATGAAGGACGTAGTCATTTCTATCTTGTTCATGGTAACTGGAGTGGAATAGGAGCTTCATCAATAGTGGATGAATTATTAATTATTAATTTTAACATTCAATTCCTTTCATCCTCAAAAACCCTATGAAGAAACTTTTTCCCATTTATAGGTGAGGATGCTGAAGACAGTGGGGTTAAGAAACGTGTTTAATGTAAAAAAAAAAAAAAAGGTGAAAAGCCAGGTGGCAGAGTCAGGATTTAAACCTGGGTAGTTTGGCTTCATCATCCTTGCTCTTAGTCACTCAGCTAAAATTCAGTATCCCTTGGCCCAGAGGCATATGGACGGATTTACCAGCAAAAATACCGAGGGGTCTCCTTGCAGCAACCTCAACCTCCTGTCCTGCAGCGGCTCCTCCAGCAGCAGTTGTGTCTACGCAGAGAGGAAGGCAGCTGGCAAGAGCAGCTGTTCTCTTCTGCTCACATGTGCTCGACCTCCTCAACTGTCAACAAGTTCAGCAGATTTCAGCAAGTTGGGAGATTTCGTTGTGCAGAGAATACAGACATCTCAGAAAATGAAACTCCCCACTGGTTTGAACTACATGCCTTAAGTTCCCCTCAAAACAAATCCTTGAGGAAGATAGCCACCATGAGATTGGGTTGTTCAGTTTGGTCCTGGAGAGGAAATTGCAGTGATGCTCAGAGAGTAGGGATGAGGGCATACTCCTCAGAGGTCAGTGCTATTTATAGGATTTTGATCGGGTAAAGACGACACTGGAGAAAAGACCTGATTGAAATACTATATTAAGGAGAATAAATAGGTTGGAAACAGATGCATTTGAAAAATTCCCCAATGAATTCTAAAGTTATTAGCTCTAATGCTAAACTTCTCTAAATAATGGCATTTAGAGTAACAAAAAATGGCTGGCAATGGGGTTTGAATTTCATCTTTATTATACATATTGCATGCAAATCATATGCAATACACAGGTGCTCTCTTATTTCATCACCTGAATGTAACTATGGAGATTTTTTAAGCACTGTGGCCAAGGAGTCCTGGGTGTAGAACATCTGGGCTTAGTTCCCAGCCCTGTCTCTAACCAGCTTTGTGACCTCAGTTTCCTCATGAAGGAGGCTGAACTGCATGATATGGTGCTAAGCAAATAGTAAGAATACATTG